CCAGCTTCCATTGCACAGCTTCCACTGGTGTATGTTGCAAGGATGTTAGGCATCCGGGAACATGATGTGCCTGCTTCTGAGATATTCTTCACGCTGCAGTCTGCGCCTTCACAAACAAATTACATTACAACGTCACATTCCCACAATGCACTCCACATACCATCTGCATTATATTGCAGTATTTCTTTAAAAGCACCTTTGCTTCCATCTGAGACAGGATATTTACAGGGGATTCTTTGCTTTGTCCCACATGCTTACATAACACCGTGCCCAATTGATTGAGAGATTTGAGATTATTATGCATCTCGAGACAAATTGCTGAATCCAGTCAATACTGCACCTAGATGATACCATAGCTGTTAATAGCTTCCAGGATCTGCTGGTTGCAGAATGATTATAACCATCTTGATCGGTTGCAACACCTCTCTCTCTCTCTCTCTCTCTCTCTCTCTCCTGCTTTCGAACTCTCGCACATGCAGTCAAAGCAGAAAGAGATGACAGGGAGAAAGGTGCAAAGAGCGTTTCATGCCAGGCATCTTAAGCTTTTTAGCACGGCTGGCCTTTGGCAAAGCGAAGAAGTGTAGACACCTAAGAATGCCAAGCATAAACCAGGCAAGTCTGTATTGTTCTTGGGAGAAAAAACTGAAAAGAAAGACAAAGCACACACAAACATTCAAGCATGCCTCTGGAGACGGAGGAAAGCAAAGCTGCCCTGCCTGGCAACAGCACTCATTTTGGCTGGCTTTCATCTGGGCTTGGCCTTTTGACAATACATGCGATTGAAGCAATCTTCACAGCCTGCATTTCTATTTGTCTCAAAGGTCATTCAGAATTTGAAGGTAGAGGGGAGAGGTTGAAGGGGTAGAGTGCTCCTCTTGGCATCAGCAGGCCGTGATGAATGATTAAGGAACTGTGTGTGTGCGGGAACATATGGTTTGTTTTCATCAGTATGCATGTGCTCGTGTGTGTGTAGGATTACATGTGTTTGCATGCACTGTATCTTTGCACAATGTTGCCTGTGTGTATGTTGTGTGTGGGTGTGCATGAATTCTTTTTGGCTTTCAGCTGCAGCATATGCCTGCGATGCTGTCTGTGATACTGAGCTTTGGTCTCTGTGATCTTGTCATGAACCCAAAACTCTTATCCACGTCTGCCACTCCATCTACTCTCCATGATGACCCGCGTCAATTTTCGTAATCATCCTTTTACTCTCTTTTATTATCGGCCTTCCATCTCCCCGTCTCTTCAACGCCGTATTCACATCTCCCTCTTATCTCCTCCTCGTCTCTCCAGAAGATAGCCTCGATCCAAAGCTGTGCTAAGCCGGCTCAAACTTCAGTCCAATTCATCCACATGAATATTTCATTTACATTTTTTAAAATCATGACTTATGGCTGTCAGGGTAGCTGTAAACACTGTTGATATAAAATTAAAGATGTGAATTTGCGCCAATTTTTTGGTGGATGTAATTAACAACTTGTTTTATTTTTTAAACAGGAATGCATGCAATCCCGTTAAAACCTAGATACTCTGATAAGTAATTATTGCCTGAGTGTGCAGCATCTGTTTAAACATTGCCATAAATTACCCATGGTAATGGGTCACATTGCTGTTTGTTTAAAAACAGTCTCCTTTGGTTGTATAAGGGTAACCTCAGTGTAAGTTGAAGCACTGTAGGTTAGGTTAACGTAAAGCACCATTATATTCAACAAATGAACAAGGAGATGAGAAAAGGTTTTTTTGTCCATTCTGACTTCAGAACAAAGTTGTCTCTATCTATTATAGTACACAGAGTAGGACTGTTGGACTATTGTTTTTTTCCCCCTTTGGGAGAGAATCACATCTCAGATAAATCAATAATACTTCCTGCCTCTGTCTCGTGGTTATATATGAAACAGTGGAAGCACAAAATGAATGTATACGATCAATCAAAAACTTGAGCATTTATTTGAGATGTTCAAAAAAGGTGTCTTATTCCAATATAGGCTTTCGGGGCTTTGGGGGAAGTTGTGAAAGTACATCCTGAGTTTAAGAGAATGATGAATGCTGTGCTCCTGTCTTTGCTGGGGGACATAATAATGATGAGACACATCAATCTTTATTACCACTCCAGCACCCAGTCCAGAACCTCCAAGGGCAACAGAAATATTGCACTCAGCGAAGGACATTTATCTTCACATTACCTGACATAATAGCTCTTGGCTGCAAGGAAACCTATCTAGGTTGTTGCATGGGAGCACCAGTATTCTCTTTGTTATTCTCTTATGAAAAATGAGTAATTCAACTCTACAGCCAAGTTTAAGCCAAGTAATAAGATTTTATTTATAGTGAGCACCAGAATGACTCAATTTCATATATAACAGGGGATAATCCTTATTTCAATCAGACGCAGCCATAATTTACTCTGTTTCCATTGGTGGACTCGTTTGTCTATCTCGCCAGGATTGCTCTCTGATTGGCTCAAAGACGCAAAACCCCTCCCACTCGTACCTGTCGATCTGTGAGAGGCCGCCAAAGCTTTCTAATGCTCCGCCCATCGCATCCTTCCCGCCCCTTTCCACCGGCGTTCAATCGTGAAGCCAATTGACTGTTGCAGGCTCGGTATGTGGCGCATGAGTATGCGTTTCGGGATGTAACGACTGTCTTCTCGGAGTAGCGATACTGAATTAAAACACATTTTATATATATATATAAAAATATATACACCCGGGGGAGGACTCACAAGAAAGAAAACCCCGAGGAGAGCAGGCAAGGACCAGAGGGAGTTTACGACAGCACGGAGTGGAGGGAGACACGGGAGCGTGGCAGGAGGGACGCTCGAGCCAATCCGACCGACACCGCACGCAGAAATGGCGGAGCACCACGCAGCCAGCGACGGCAAGCACAAAGCGTCCGCTAATGCCGGGGGCTCGGTGCACGGGAACAGCAGACCCGGCGCCGCGGGAGGAGGTGGAGGAGGAGGTGGAGGGGGTAAAGGAGGCCTGTCTGGCGGACTGACACAGCCAGCTGGGTGGCAGTCTTTGCTCTCCTTTAGTATTCTCTTTTTGGCCTGTCTGGCGGGATTCAGCTCCAGACTTTTCGCGGTGATCCGGTTCGAGAGCATCATCCACGAGTTTGATCCATGGTAAGCTAGTCCCGTCCGCTGCCCGGTAACAGTGGGCTTGTAGTGGCAATGAAAGGCTGAGATTGAGCTCCACATCGCTCCAACGGGGGAGGGAGGGAAGGAGGGAGGGAGGAGGGGGGAGCTTTTTATTTTTAGAAGAAATTAAAGATATGTTTATTCACTTTATAACTCCGCACAATAACAGCGACTGCTTTGAACGCAGCTTTAACTAACTTGGATGTTTACGCGAGCTCCTCGCATTCAAGATAAACAGTGGTTTCTCTTCCCCTATAATGACCAACGACAGGGTTTCTCTCTTTATCTCAAACACTTTGTTCTCAGAGACCTGATGTGTATGTGTGTCTCTCTAAGGGACCATGACATTTAAATGTAATGGTCCGAGTGACGCGCAGCTAATAGCCCGTTTGGGTTGAGCACTGTAATGTATGTAGATTTACCATCACCAGGCAGTAACTCTAAATAAGAGCTGCAGTGAGCCGTATACAATGGGGCTTCAGCTGCAGGTAGAACTTTTACTTGGTAGGAAAACGTGTGACTAACCGGGAGGAAGACGCTCAGGGCTTCTCTCGTACTCAGCGCGTGTTTTTAAATCATTGGAAACTCATTTCAGTGTGAGGGAGTGAAGTTGAAACGGTTGCTTATGTGGGGATTATCCTTTCAGCGGTGGTCGATATGATTGATCGAGGCTGTTTTTTTTTTACTTCTGGACATTCCCTCTTAGAGTTTAACTGAACTTGCTGTAGGTTTGTATAAATGGTGAGTGGAGATACAGAGACATGCACACGGTACTGTATTGTTTTGGATTTTTTTCGCGCAAATTACAGCCGGTGCTCGGAACCCGGAAGCCAACAGATCCGGTGTGCCGTGTCTGTCATCACAATGCAGGATTATTCCGCTTTGTAACAGTGTCACATGGGCCCACAAGTGTCCGCCTGGTTGCAATGCACCGGCACTCCCTGCCTGCTATCATACACACTCTGGTATTCAACGAGACAGCAGGGCTGATGCATTCATTTATTAATTTTCAAGGACAGGTGCTCCATCTTGTTCAGGGTGACACTCGCTTCTTCAATTATGTTGATAACGTGATTGCATTTTATAGCCAAGGGCCAAGGCTTAGGGCTGGAGGTGGTTCAACATGGTTAAGAGGGCCTTGATCCTGCTTTGAGAAAGGAATTCGCATCAAGGGCTGACCTTAGTTGTATCAAAGCTGCATTCTTTCTTTGCAGGCTTCTTATATCTGATTAACGTCCTGGGTGGGCGCACAGTTGCTATATTAACTATGATGTTTCGCAGCATTTCACTGTTAAAGTTAGGAGTTGTTTTGCTTCAGTACGAGGCACCATAAAGCGGTTAAACCTGCAGTTCTGACAGTACAGTCCTTTGGCAACATGTAACCGAAAAGAAAGCACAGCCACTCTTCTGATATTCATAAGTTTAAAAGCGCTTGTAGCTGTGAATGGTCTGCAAAAATGTTCTCTTTGACCCCGAAAAACAAAGCGATGCTTGGATGAAACCTTCTGTTGCAGACTTCAATGTGCTGAAGTGGTGAATTCAGCCACAAAGCAGTGCCTCGTTTAATTTTATATTTTATGGACCTCTTAATTATTAGAAGAAGCGGTATAAACTGCAAGAAATCATGGTTTTATAAGGAAGATGCATTTATCAAAACCAATTTACACCAGAAATATATCTGTAGCGCCCCCCCCCCCCCCNNCCCCCCCCATCTTCTTTGACCCCCATGTATAATCCTGACCAGCTTGCTGAGAACCACTGCCCTACATTTTCACAATCATTAGCACTCTGTGGAATTCTTCAGTGTGTATGGCGGCCATAACACGAGAGTTTCTGTATAGATTAACACATCTATGAGACCCCAGTGAGTCCCGTCTTTGCCGAGAATAGAAAATGCGACATTATTCTAAAACGTATTCTGGTATCGTCTGTTGACTCAATGAAATGTGATTGGTGTAGGTATCGATCTAAAAAGCAGTTTTTTTTTTAATGATTACATTGCATTATGCATTCTAACTCACCTCCTCACCTTTTTTTTGACAGCGAGAAAATAAAACGTGTATTTTGCAACTGCAGGCGCATGGGATGCTGATTCCAAGTGGCCGTCGCTCCCAGAGACGCATGATTAGTGCGGTTGTCGTCTGAATGCTCGGATGCTGTTATTGATTTTTCCCCTCTGCGAAGAGCTTCAAATTATCTGCAGCAAACCATTACGTTAAACAAGCTGGCAATTTGAAGAATCAAGATTGGATTTACAAGCTCCAAAATGTCAGGCTTATTCTGCAATATGCAAACACCACATGCTGTACTGATTTCTGTAGGCGAGTCTCTGATACGACTTGCCCGTTATCTGGCTGTGCGCATTCTGCTCTCCTAATATTTGTTGATTATCTTAAGACCGTGCAGGCTTTTGTTGGCATTCAAGTGAGATTTCTTTTTGTCTTCTCCATTCACGACAGTAATTAATTTGTGTCCTAAAAGTTGTGTACTAACTTTAAAAAAAAAAAAAAAACATTTCAAATGAATGTTGAATTTTCTTAATAGTCAATGAGCCAGAGGATAATTTGTGCTTAGAGTTGTTCTGACTGCCTACTAGACTTAGCCCTGTGGAGGTGTAACTCCTGGACCCTGCAGATACAAATATATATCCTTTTTTTAAGTACTAGTATTTGCCACAAGCTGCTACTAGTGCTCCTCAGAAGAGAAAGATTCGTTCCTGCCCCCGGAGTTGACTTTCTCTGTCCAGTTTATTGAGGTAGTGGAAGGAAAATGTAACTAGACTGAAGGCTAACTGGTGAGGCACGTGTGTGTGTGTGTGTGTACTGGACAGAGGTTTCCTCTGAAGCAGTCAAGTTTTTTTCCACCTTGGTTATGTCAGAAAATGGAGTCCGTTCTGACAGTAGAGTGAGGCGAGAAGAAGCGTCTCTGTCAGACAAATACTGAGCTGGATACAGCACAGACACAGACACACACACATACACATTCACGCTCACACTTACACCCCTATCCTCTCTTCGGCCCGGTGGGCATCCGAACTGCTGCCGCTTCGCATGACTAGAGCTTTGTTCAAGGTATAGATGGATGTTCACAGTGTGTCATGCTGGGTGTTAGCTTTTAGTAGCTGAGTCCATTAAAGTGCAGTGTTTGGACATATGTGGTGCTAAAGTGGCTGAGTGATGAATCATTTACCATAGTTCATTTGAAATACCAAAAATTGGCAGGTAACTGTTAGTTGGAGGCCTTGCCTAGTTTGTGTTGCTTCACATATTTCCAACCAATTTATTATCACTGCTTTTTACACACAGTTGCTTGCTTCTGTCATTCCAGTTAACAACAATTAGTAGCCTAACTTTACCTAAAGATGCACTTATCCAGCTTCTGTCACCTCAGGGTATCTGCCAGTTGATATGACAGGGCTGCTTTTTCACATTTCAAATCTGAACCTCACTGCATGACATTAGTTTGAATCCTTCTTATGTAGAGTAACACAAGGCCAGGGGTGGTCTGTGACAAAATGTGCTTATGCTTATGGCTGCCAAATGAGAAATCCAGGTTTAGTTTATATAAATAGATGGAAGTAATGAAGTTGTTTATGTAAGTTGAAAAGGTTACGTTCAGGTTAAGGTAAGCGACCGTTTGGGTTGTAGTATTTGTGCCATCTGCTGTTGGTAGTGATTGTGTGCCATCTGCTTGCACGCTCGGTTAAGAGAAGATTTTCAGCCCAAGATCCCATTGGAAAACTGCCTAACATATTCTAAAACTATCAGAACAACTTACTTCTGCTTGTTCTCTCAGCTGATCCCGCCTCCCCTCTTGTACTTTCTGGGTGCAGCAGATTTGAACTTTTCTTTGGAAACACAAATCTGAAAATTGTAACAACCGCTTTCATCTCTTTTGATTGTTAATTCCAGAACAACAGACGTGTGATTTAATACCTTAAATGCCAGTAGTTTCACAGATACCTTGCACAATCCTCCATCTCAAACAACACTTAGATATCAGATGTCATTTGACACTAGTGTTTCTGTTCTGTAAAGTGTGTGTTTTGTGTCCAATTGGCACTTATGTATCACTTGGATTTATCTGTGTTCTTTTTCAAGGAAAGCCTCATAACAAGTAACCCCTTTTTGATGATAGTCTTTGTTGCTGAAAGTTGTTAAGTGCTGCAAAAATGAAATCTTCCCACAAGTAATGTTACCACCTCAGCTTTTTTTGAAAAGCCAGCAAAATTAGTTGCGTTGTAGCAGCTTTCGTGTTCTCTCTCTCTCTTCTTCTCCCTCGCTCTTCTCTCCTCCGTCTCTCTTTCTTCTCTCTCTCTCTCTCTCTCTCCCCTCTCCTCCCTCCGTCCCGTTTCTCTCCCTCTGTCTTTTTAAGAACACAAAAAACATGACGTCTATCTCGAAGTAGATTAGGCCATCCCAGCAGTGGCTGCTGGCACAGCAACACGTTAGCTCGTGCAGTAGTGTGGGAAAATTGAGAATAAGTCATGATTGATCTTCCTACCAGACTGTTGGCTGGAGCTGTGATCCCTGCCTACACCCCCGACTGGCTGTCCAACAGCTTATGAAATATGTGAGTTGAGACGGTGTTCAGTTACCTGCAGGAGAAAAAGTCTTATGATGGCCCATCTTCTATCAATATGGGCTGGTTTCATAGGCTTACATTATTCTTTTTTAATGGATTGGAGTTACAACAGCTAACTACTAGAGCCATTTTCGTACCTCAGTGACAAAGATCCCTGCAGGCCAGGCCAAGTCCTATAACAACACTATAACAGGAGAAAGTTAACAGTTTTTCCTCCCTTGCAGACGTTTTTTATTTTCTGCTTTATCCTCAGTCAGGAAACTTGATGTCGAGCCCCCGATGATTAAGTGCTATTTCTCAGGCCGAGCCTCCCAGCAGACTGTTGTCACGCATAGCGCAGGAGTCTGTGAATCCGAGGCGTGCTCCGTGTGTGTGCGAGATGTGGAGCGACATATCTGTTC